CAGGGTCAAAAATATGAGCACAATATAAGCTGATTCATAAACAACTGAGCCAGTAAAATCCAGTTTCCTAGCAATGTGTGTCAAAGTTGTAGGAAAAGTTCAGATTGCAACCTCTCCTTCAGCAGGCATCTTTCCATCTGCCTAGGCTGCCTAATGCCAGAAAACTTGTAGGTTTACTGGAATAAGCTTCGACCCCACTCACAAATGCAACTTGAATTGGTCAAGAGGTTTAGAAGTTACTAAGAGCAAGAGGAAAAGGCAGACATTCAGAGAAAACTGCACATAATCTATTTTCTCAGAAAAACAAGCTAAAAATATATATACACAAACTGCTGATAGTTTGAATTTGCGCTGTTACAAGACTGCACTGGAGACATAAGCTTGACCACACAAGTCACAGAGCATTGCCCACATTCTGTCTGGATGAATGTATTTCTTAAAACAGGCATAGTGATGAAGGGAAAATTATTTATTTAAGTAGCAACATAAAAAATTAAAAAAAAAAAAAAACCACGAAAAATCGGAGTAAAACAACATGCATTTTCCTCCTAAGAAGATATTAGCATTGTCTAAAGCCCTAGGGAGGAGATATTTGGGCAGGGAGCGGGCTTTGCTCACCCACACTATGCTGCAAGTCACTGTGGGCAGGCAGCCCTGCCTGAAAACTGTTGGAATTCACCAGAATGGTTTGGAAGGGGACCTTCAAAGATCATCTATTTTGACCCCCATGCCATTGGAAATGTTCAAGGTCAGGCTATATGGGGCTTTGATCTGAAAGATGTCCTCGCCCGTGGCATGGGGGTTGGACTAGATGATCTTTGAAGGTCTTTTCCAACCCAAACCATTCTGTGACTCTATGATGAGTGATAACCTCGCTTCCTCACCACTTCGCTACCCTACCACAAACAGGCTGCACAGGTCTGACAGAGCTTGTGAATACAAACTACCTGCAACAGCAGGAGGCTACTCAAGAGTCTGCACTGCTTGACAAAATTAAAGCTTTGTTATCAACATACCCAAATCTGGAAAGGATGCTCAAGGGCGATGTACTCAGAAAAGACAAGACACCAAAAATCATAACTGCTTCAGGAAAGCCAGTGTGGGTGGGACAGCACGTGTTCACTCTTGACAATTCTGCTGCATCTCCCCCCAGCAGGCATTGCTTACAGAGAAATTTAAGGGTAAAAAGGTTTTATCTATATATTAAATATATAATATAAATTAGAATATATTATATATAAAATATGTTTAATACATATATTCACACACATATATAACTATACACAAAGGAGATTAATATCTGCAAGATGAAGAAATCCACACATGGTCTCTGTCTGGATCCTCACCGGCAATAAAACAAGAAGCAGACTGCATGGTAAACAACAACAGCAGAGATAATAAGCATAGGCATAAGCTGATCACATAACAGATTATGGCGGGCCAATAATAGATTGTTGCCTTAGTGTATTTTCTTAAGTTCATCTTCATGTTTCCTCACTAGCTTCATATAAGAGTCCTTCACAAGGACAGGATGGGTACAACAGTTGCAGGTATTATCCAATTCCTATGCTGCATATGACCTATTTACTAGAGGCTGGAGCTGGGATGAAGGCAGATCAGCTGGAACTTTTTCCAAGAACCAGTGATAGCTTTCACAGACTGCAGTTCTGTGTGGAGTTTTACGATAACAGGAAATAACCCCAATACTCCAGAAACAAAACAGACAGTAAAATTTCCAATTGGAAGAGTATAAAAATTCCAAAGCTTTGGAACCTTGCTGCTCACAAGCAAAGCAGTGACCAGTGCAAACCAAGTTGAGCATTCATATGTAGTAAAAAAAAAAAAGTTATGCCAAAAACTGTTAAGTTAGAATCTGTAATTATCAGGACAACTTGCAAGACTCACATCACTCACAAGTATTTCAGATGATCCTTTGGCTATCACCAGTAGAAAAGCTTATATTAAATAAACTTTAGTCCATTTCTTCAGTCGTAAGTCACTTCTACTAAACAAAAAGGATGTAGTTGCAAACTGCCACAGTGATACCTGGAATATAACAGCAAAGTACTGTAATGCAACAGTCACCACTCACTTGCTACTCTTTGAATAAAAAAATGAAAATGTTATAAGAGGGAAATAACATTGTCTTGCCAAGACTGGAATGATCTGATGATAATTTTTTCTTCTCAATAAGTAAGACTACTACACACTGGTTCACTTTCGCTTTTCAGCATTTTCCTTCAGCCTCTAAGAAAGGACATTGATGGTGTTACTGCCATAAATGGCACCATCAGCAAACAATCAAGCTCTTTGAAAACCCATTTTGTACTAGCACTGCCAACTCCAGTATTCACTGCCTGCATACACAGAAGAGCTGTAAGCACTTCTGATCCGATTATGAAATAGAAAAATCATTCCCATCACTTTGAAGCAGGCAGCCAAAGGAACAAGTGTATTTTCAACAATTCCTCCCAGCTATCAGAAGTGAAAAATAGAAATTATCATTATGATCTTTTTGTCTGATCTCCTTCAAAAGGTCATGGGAAGATTAATATTATGAGCTCATTTCTGCAAAGCAAAGAAAAGGATCCTGTCTGATAAAAATAACAGCTGATCTAAGTTAGACACAGCAGAACTGCTAAACCAGTCAAACTGAGTGGTAGGTTGGTTTTTTATTGTTTTCCATTTCCTTTTTGTAACTCAAGATACAAATAAGAATACATTTAAAAGCAAATCTCCTTATCAAACCATAAACTAACTCAACTGCCCAACTATTAACACTACTCCACAGGAAACATGGTGGTAAATATAACAGGTTCCAATTCTCCTGCTATATCAGGTCCTTAGGAGGGAAAAGGTCTACATGCACACATCAAGCTGCGGGATGATCAGAGTTGTTATTTTACCCTGAATCAGCACTGGGAAGGCAAACAACAGTTTTCTGCCAGCCTATGAGAGCATTCTTGTAAATACAGCGGATACACTGCAGCCATTCATACCCCCAGTGTGGTACTGCAGCCAAAACTCATGGTTGAGACAGCAGCCTTGTCCTTGTCCATTGGCTTAACTGAAAGGAAAGTTGTAAAAAGTTATTAAAAAAAAAAACCCACACAGAAAATGTGACAAAGACTTGGAATGTAGTACTGAAAAAAGTTACAAGTAAAAGCAGTTAAGCAAATATATAGGTTGGGTTTTTATTATTACAGAAATTATTGCATTTGAATACTGAAATATGCAAAGTCCAGGTTTTAAGTGAAGGTAACATACTTAAAGGGCAAAAATATACAATAACTGCTTGCAGATGGTAAACATGTGATTTGATCTAGCAGCTCCCAGAATAGGAATAAGGGTGATTTAGAAAGGAGGGGAAATCAACCCTTTGTTTTATCTAAAGCATGTCTCATTCAGAGTAGCTTTATCAGATTGAAACATCCGTCATTGTGCCACTATTTCAATCACAGATGGTTTCTCCCTCTCATAATATACAGATTGCACAAGAGGATAATGAAACACGATGGCCAGGGAAGAGTGGTGGAGGAATGAAACTTCATTGGGGCCAGGGGAAATCCTGCCTTTTTCAAATAGCTCCTAAGCAAAAGCAAAGATTTAACCACAACCATCACTCTTATCTCACTTGATCTTGCTTCAGTTAGGTATTTAATAAACCTTGTCAGGTCACTTTGCCCTGGCATTACCAGGATACAGCAATTTAAATTCTCCCACACTGAAAAGTCCAATGTAAGCATAAACAGAGTAGTTGCCCCTCAGCACAGAACATATCCACAGCTTCTTCTCCCACCCCCCACTCCCCCTCCCCCCCAGTGCATCTCAGGTCTGTAAGAGGAGCACACAGGCAAAGTCCAGCAACCAGGAGTTTACAGTACCAATGTAATCTCTCCAGTAGTACTCTGCCCAAGAACACTAACTTCAGCTGTGGCCGCTCCTGGGTCAGCACTGATAAGCTGATGTAAAATGAAGCAATCCATTTCACAATGCGAACAGTTGTTTGGCTACACAGGGAACAATATAAACAAATGGATCTATATATAAATCATCATTCATGCTTCTTGTAAAACACAGACTAAGTTCCAGGACAAAAACTACAGTATTTCCAAGAACACAATGGACACTCAAGCAGCTTCTATATTATTCCACCAGCCTGCCCCACTGACACTCCCTATTCCAGCTCTACAGAAGCAACAAAAATAAGGCGATCCTAGGACCTCAGTTTTCAGGGACAAGCTACCCTTGCTTTAAAAAGGGCACTGGAGATCCAGGGAGTAGGAGAACCACATTATCATACAGATGCCTTTTTCCAACACATAAAAAAAAGTAAACGGTAGCATCTCTTCAGCGCAGTGAAGGAAGGAAAAACAACCACAAAAAAAAAAAATTAAAAAACGAACCCAAACGAGTCCTACCCCTACCTTTCCCACGCCTGCAACCGAAGCAAACCAGTCTATCCTCAAACTGCACACACCACTTGCATCTGACCGCAGCGGCTGTAGATGTCAATCCACACCCCCCTTTCTCTTCACCCTCTCCAAGAGCGGCTGTTGAACTCCAAGGCACTAGACCGTTTGACGAGGCTTTAGCTCATTTATGGCAATCACAGTGCATAAAACACACGAGTCCAAGCGACCGTTTTCACTTCGTGTCCGGCAACACCCGCTGCAGGCAAGCATCTCCGGCAGCACCCTTCCTGGCCAGGTACCACTCCCAACACCGGCACCCCCGCCCCGCATGGAAGTACCACCTCGCCGGCAAAGGGGCACGGCAGAGCGGGAACCGCGCTGCTTCTGCCCTCACAGCACGCCTCGGGGGAGGCCCGCAGCCCGCCGATAGGCATGTGTGCGGCAAGCGGCAGGCAGAGCCCTTTACGTAAGGGGATGCGGCTACCCCACCGCCGCGGCAGAGACACTGCCACCCCTCAGGGCTCAGCGAGGCGGAAGGAGGTGCCCCCACCTCCCGGCCGCTCCCCTCCGGTAGCGCTCGGCTACCCCTCACAGCCCGCTCACTGCCCGGGTCGCCTTACCCTGCGGCTGCAGCTCCAGCCGAAGCGGGGCGGAGCGGCCCGCGGAAGGTGCGAGCGACACCCCGCGCTATCCCGCTGCCCCACGCATGGTGTGCCCCGCTGCGGGGTCGCAGTGTGCGCGGCGGGTGCCGCTCCCGGGCTTTTCTCCGGCGGCGACGCAGGAGGTGTGGTGAGGGCGGGCGGGGGCGGGCTCGCCCGCAGCTGGGCGGGCGCCTCTTTGAAGCAGCCGCCCCGCTCCAGCGCGTCAGGCACTGCGGCGCCCCCTGGCGGCGGCGGGAGCGCCCCGCGGGCCGGTGGGCGCTGAGATCGCGGGATTTCCCTCTTGGCAGCGCCCGGCTTGTTCCCTGTGTGTTCCGAGCAGCGATCTCCCTGGGTGGGCCCAGCCGTGCAGAGCCGCGCAGCGCCGCCGGTTTTCCCATGTTGCTTTGATTTATTCCAAGGACTCGCATCTCCGGTTGCCCTAGTGTGACCCACCCCCCCAGGCCCAGCACATCTTTCAGCGGCAGGAGAGAAACAATGGGAGATTGATTTTACGAAGGAGGGCAGAAGGGTTTGCCTCCCTGGCAAGAACAGGAAGGAGGTAGACATAAGGAAACCGTGATGGGCATGGCTGTTTTGCAAGCAGTGCTCAGCAAAACCAGCTGCTTTCCCGTTGTTGGTTGATGTATAGAGCAACCACCGGCTTTCTTCTGTAACACGCGGTGACACAAAAGGAAGAACCCTGAGATGGGGAGATGAGTAAGGAGCTGTCTGGTTGGTTTACGCCCTTGCCTGACCCATCGCAGGGGTGAAGGCACGCAGCAGCCTCCGGGGAGCACTATGGTCAGGGGATCGCAAAAGGCGTAGCGCATCTGGCAGCAGCTCTGCTCCTGCATACCCTCACTCCACTACAATACCCAGAGGAAAAGATGTCAAAAGCAAGAGGGAATGAAAAGCTAAGCTTCCCATCACACGCAACCAATTACCGTGAAAAGCTCAATTTCAGGTTGCCTAGTACAAGAGTTGATATTGCAGCCTGGAGACTGATGAGCTTTAAAGTCTTTATGCCACTAAACTGACTAGCCCTTCTCTCTTACTTACCATAGCAGATCATCTATTTTTTTTCCTCAGATATTTATGGATAGCTGTGGCTTTTGTAACACCTGTCATCCAAACAGCACAAGGTGTTTTAACTATCTTCTCCCAGCACAGCCCAGTCCACTGAAGCTTGTAACAAATGCTGCTCATCACAAGGAGAATCACCGCTATTGTTCTCCCCTTCAGCCTAAATGCCCTTGGCACCCTGCAAGCAGCCCCTTGTGCTAACTACAGACTGCACCCAGAATTACAGCTCTCTTGTATATGCAGTCACACATTCTGCTAGTATGGTTCTGGGTTATATCAAAAAAATATAGTAATAATATGGACAAACTTAAGAAAATAGATATATTTATTGAAATGTGCAATGTATTAGCACTAATTATGTGACAACAACATTTAATATTTCCATCATTTGTGACATTGAAATATATTTCATGTTGAAAAAGAGGGCATCTTAAAATGCATCTTAAATGACAGTTTTGCTCATTACCCAAGATATATTCATAATTGTAACTGAGGTCATTCTCCCAAACAGTCATTCATAACAAATTTTACAAAGGAACAGCTGTATAATGTTAGCAAAATACAGTAAAAGTTCCTTCCCACTTCAGCATCTTTAGCAAGCGCTTGGCTGCGGTACCAGGAGATTACACATGAAAATGCAATTAAGCGTATCTGTTTACAGGACTTAAATTCAAATCATGACTCTTAAGGGTCACAATGTACATGTAATCTCTAAGCCTGGGAGTAGTTGTACTAAATTCAGTATTAATTTTCTAGTCCTATGCTGAAAGTTAGGCCTCACTGCAGACTGAAAGCCTAAAGTCCATTTTTGGTACAATGTGAACTATGTTTATAGATTTAAAAATACAATAAAATAAAATAAAATAGGTTAACCAAGCTGTAACCAAAAACATTTTTGAGATTTTACACAAAAAATTAATTCTGTATATTAAAAAAAAAGATAGCTATTCATTAACTATGGTGATTGCCTGTCAAAACATATTATGCAAGTTCTTAATTTCCAATGTATAAGACTGCCATTTCATTTGGAAAAGAGTATCACACAGAGCAGCAACTTTATCTTAATTCTGTTTGGTAACAAGAGGCAATGTAAAATCCTTAAGATTTTAAGAAGAGAAGGACTTAGAACATTCTGATAAAAGCCATCTTCAATGTCTTTACATTATTTACTGGATTATCACATTTTCAGCTCCAGTTTGTTTACTCTACAGCTTCCTCCATAGGCACAGAGGATCTCTTGCACCAAAAGAATAGCCGTTTGCAGAGTAAATGCAAAGCAAAGAATGGCAGGATTTCTGGTTCTGAATGGGAGTTTGTGTGCCTTGCATCTGTGTGCTGTGATACAGCTGGCATTTTCTGCAGAAGTGGCAAGCTGGTGGATTTACTGGTACATTGATGCACTAAATCTTTTGCTATGCTGGGACTGAGCCAGTAGCAAAGGAAAATGCTTCTTTTCTATCATGCAGTGTAGATGCTGAGAAAGAGGCTGGGTTTAACATTTGAGCAATGGGAATGCAGAGGAAATCAAACCCCAGTTACATAAATTTGTGCTGCCCATACTCGCTACTCAGGCTGAACTCCAACTGAGGTCAGTGAAAGAGCTGCCAAAAGACTGTGGGGTTAATGTGTGTGGGCCACATTTTAAATGTCACTTAGTATTAATGCAAGAAAAAAAATACTGAACTGTAAGTGCTTAGGAAGTGTTGTGATTGCAAAATGCAAAATACAAAGAGACAAAAGAGCACCAGAGACAGTATATATAGTTAGGATAGTATAAATAGAAACTGAAGGAATTATAAATGGAAAAAAATTCACAGTGCATTCAGAGATGCACCTTGCTTTACTCAGAAGTAGCAGCTCCTACTTAAGCACCTTCCCCTACATTCAGGTGAATGCAAAACATTCCTCTCAAAAATATCTGAAAAAAAATAACTAGCACTATCAGAAAAATTAAAGAAAATGTATTTTTCTCTACATGGTATATTTAATGCATTCTGGCTCCCAGCTGCTGCAAACATTTACGAGACAGTCCATGCATTGAGTGCAATGGACAGGACGAATAAGTAGTGCCAGCTCACTTCTGCTTTGTGCAGTGCTTATCCCCATACCCTTCATACAGAGCGTGGGGAGGGGGGAACTAATTAAGTCTGGAAAACTGTCATTATAAAGCCCTAACAATTGCCCGAAAACCAAGAACGAGGGCGGTTTCCTAAGGACTGCCAGCTGGCTGGCTCTCTTGTGATCTAGCGAGGAACTGCAATCCACTTTTCCATATGAACGAAGTAGACTAAGGTTCCTCGTTAGTAAATTCCACTTATCCATTCTTAAAACTGTTTGTAATGAATTAGACATTAGGGTGTGTTTTGGTTTCTTTTATGGCATGCATACTTACGTATTATCTTAAAATTGTTTTCTGTGTGATATTATGTTAATGGTTTGCCCTTAAGTTCTTCATACAATGGACTAGAAAGTTGATTTCAGAGATCTGTTTATATGAAAGCTCTCAAGCTACTTGGTAATGTTCAACCAAACAATGGAGAAGAATATAGTTTACATTCTAAAATATTTAGCACATTCACATACAGAACTATACTGTGTATGCAATATGTGCCATACACCTAGTGTAGTTAAAAGCATTAGATACATATATACACATGTATATATATATATATATATACACACCCATTTTCTTTACATAATGCACCTGCCCTAACTCAGTAGATTGAGTTACCAGTCCAGTTTCATGTCTGCTTTACTCCACACATACTTTCCTCCTCTTTTTAGGAACATCTTCTCATCAAATCCACTGAATTTTATAGCGGCTTCTACACCAACATCTAGGATAGACTTGGAAGGCTCTTTCCGTCCATTTCTACAGTTCAGAAAACGCATCTGGAACATCAATAGATAAGATGTTAGAAAATCAGTTTGTAAAAGCTTAATTTTTCTACAGACTTAAACAAGTTGCTCTTTAATCCCACGAAAGACTGCATAAATGCATGAACAATTTCACTTAGTCCCTAGAAAGCTCAGAAGCTCTCAGATACATCAACACATCTCAGCAGGAATAAAGCCTTAGCATAATTCCTAAAGATTAAAAGTTTCCTCTTCAGTTATATGCAAACTAAGCAGGTTCCTTGAAATTTAACTTATAGGATGAGTTCTGTATTTTTAAATTAAAGAAAAACAGCAAAGACATCCTACAAAGACAGATATCTACACTTTAAGGTTTGTGATGCAACGATTATGTATAAACCTGATGGCAATTTCTGCTTAGGTCATACTTCTATTAAGTTCTTAATATGTTTGATGGGAAGATATTACATCTGTTCCTTGTACTAGATGGTGAGTTATTTTATAGAATGCACAGTAAATTGATTTGGTTATCACTGTTTTATAGATATACATATTAGCAGACAAATACCAAGTATCAAACAAAAACTTACATATTCATCCAGAATGAGGTACGAATCCCTCATCTGTAATAGACCAAAAGAAAAAAAAAAACAACAAAAACTAATGTACAAACCAAAATTCAATTCTCGTGAAGCATCAAGGACAATACAAACAATCATTCGAAACAGGTAGTGTCTCACCACTATTTCAGTGAGCTTCTATCAAGTTTATAGAAATAAACTACAGGATTGCTAGCATGATTTAATTCATGAATAAACCAGTAACTCTTGGAATATTACCTCTCAAGTGTCTAATTGAAATGTGGGTGCACAACTGGATAAGTGTTTTAAATAATACCCAAATTTTCTGCTTTTATACCAGCAGACTTACAGCGTTTTGCATACAGGAATGATTATATAATATTCCAAACAAATAAAGTGACCTTAAATGGTGCTGGGGTGCTTAATTATTACCCAGCAGACAAAGGTAATCTCCCAGATCACAAAATGCCTCAAATGCTAGATTGCACAGTCCCACTTGTATGTCTTACATAGTAGAGGCAACTCAGCCTCCTCACATGACTTCTCC